CTTCAGTGTATTGTAGTTTGTGTTTTACTAAAGGTTTAATAATTTCCCCATCATCCTTCCCCACATGGATACCAAGTGTCTCATCAAATCCAGCAGGGGAAAGAAAGCTTGATTATGTACAATTCAAGCTTTTATACACAATACCATTATCAAAGAAAGACTGGCGAGGGTTTGAAAACAGTTTATAAAAAGCTAACTTCGTCTCTGGCTGCTAAGCATTACTGTTGTATAATCTCAACCAAATGTGAAATCAATATGTTACATGCTTCAATGATTAATTTCACTTGTCTTACTTGGAAGTCCAAGTTGGCTTCAATTGTTTTATTTATGTGTTAGCACTTAGCACATCTTGGAGATAAAAGCATTTTTTACTAGAGAGGAGATACTGTCATAGCTTCTGCAGGTGATTTATTAGAGTTATTTGTTAAGAGTAGAAAAGGAGTTTTATATTCTGTATTCGTTGTTCTCTCAGATAAGAATTTGCCAAAAGGTCTATATCACTAGTTAGAGTATTTGTGTTGATATGCTGCCCTTAATGTACATATAGAACAGTCTTTTGAATCGACATAGTTTCCCTGAGAGATTGTGATGATTATTGTTTCAGGCATGTATATATTGCATGTTGAGAGAAATTATTTGGAAACTTGAATAAATTTTAATCATGTTTTCTTGTTGTTTACACAGAAGGTGAAAGAGCTTTACCATCAATACCAAAGTAAGTTTTACGCTTTCTTCTCGTATATATTAAAAAAACCAATGTTTTGTGAAATAGTTTTTCTTAAATGATGCTTTAGGACTTTTTATACATGACTTATTTTTATTGTTGTTTTGGGATTTTAGGACAAATAGCAGGCGGTCATTTGGGACCATGGGGCATAAATGACTGACAGCAGCATTAAACTATAAAGATACCAGAAATAAAATCTGAGGAAAAAAGTGCATAATGCATTAATCATATTTGACAGTAACAAAAGAAGGATTTTTTGGAAAAGACTTGGCTGGGATTCAGGCTATTTATTTTGAGTCTATGAGTAAATTAGTTATAGGAGAGATGCTAAACAGTTTTTGAACTGTGGTTTCAGTCAGTGAGTTAGTCTATGCTCTTGTTTTGCCTGTTTGCCCTCTTTTCTGCTTATGTAAAATACAGAAATTTGTTTTTTTCTCCTATCATAAATCTATTATGTTACCTTTTGTTAATAGATTTTCCATAATGGAGCCAGTCTGAGTTGGAATCTTTAGGTTCGGTGTAATAAAGAATACCATTTACATAGCAAATACTTTTAAATCTATTTTCTAAAGTATAGTAACGTAGAAAAATTCTTCTCTGATAGTAATTGTGGATTTGTAGAAAATGCTGATCTATATTAGGCAAATAGAGTTGCATTTTTTCCTCTATCTAGTTTTCTGGTGATACTGTATCCAAGGTATGATGAGACATGCTATCTGCATCTAATAATTCTTACATAAATTATGCTGATATACCTCTTTGCATTTTTCTCCTTCCCAAACTTTCAGGTAAATATGAAAATATTTCTAATTTAACTCTGTTTGAACTAAGAATATTTCTTAAGTTGTTGGAGTTGATAGTCCGTAATGCAGTGGTAGGTAAGCCTATTAATTCTTCCAGCTGATTTTCTACACCCCTGGTGTCACTGGCTAGGTCTCCATCCTATCTGGTAAGCTCTGGTGGTTGTCTCCCCTTTCCATGGGTAGCTCCTTATTGTGGCCTCCTAAACGTCAGTCCTTTAACCAAGCCACTTTTTTTTTTTCCCAGCTTGTTTGTAATCTGACAGCTTTCTTAAAAGCCACGTTTAGACCCAGTTTAAAGTCACATACCATCAGATTGTTCTCCTTGAACCTTATCAGGCAGTATCACCAGTATCCAGTAGCAGGAGATAACTGTTGAAAGACCAAATAAAATTTAGCAGTTTATAGTATCCTATCTCTTCCTTTTTACTTTGGGATACAAGAGCTGTGCCCACTTTGACCCAATCACCTCATTCTGTTTCTTCCTTGGTTCCTGGAAGGAGTCCAGAATTATTAGTATATTATTACTTTTTTAACTATTGGATGGAGTATGGAAGAAAACAGCCACTCAGATATTAGTGGTTACTCTTCCTTCACAGGTCCTGCTGCAGCCCTTGCTAGCCAGGTAGCTTTCTCATGGTGCAGAAAGTGAGGAGTTAAAATACAGGTAGAAAAAGGAAAAGAAAGTCGAGATTGGAAGCAGTAAAGTTGGTAAATTTAGTGTGTACTCCTATGGAAGAGGAAAATCTGTTTTACTTGAGTAGAAACAACTGAGAAACACAAAATAGCTTTCTAATTACATTTTATCCTTTATTTGTTGGGATTTCTGGGGTAAAATAAAGTTCAAAGGAAAAGTTTCTTCCCATTTTTGGGACAGTTTACTAAAGCTGAATTTGTACCCTTGAGTCTGTTTAAAACAAGGGCACCACATATGATTTTAGTCTGGCAGCAGAGGAATGGGCTTTTGTCAAATACATAAAACTACTAGACAACACCATCTTGCATCTGGAAAGATTCGCCTGTGCTGGATTAAATTCCAGATTTCTGAAAGCGTAAAATGCAGTACTCATACTGACTTACTATTAAAATTATGTTTATGTATGTACATGAAAAAAATTAGAATTCATTGAAATTTCTGTTACTTATGAGCATTTATAGCTAACTACATTTAAATTTAATTGTTTTTCGTCATTTGCTTGACATGTAAATTGATTTAAAATTGTTGTATGGGGTAAGTCATCTTACAGACAAAACCTCAATTCATACTTTATTTCCACTAATTAATACAGAAAGTAGAAGAACCATCAATTTACGTACATTGGCAAAGTTTAGACATGCACAACTTGATCTTAAAAGTTTGTAAAACTTAGGTTTTTGTTTTTTCCTTGAAATTTACTGTGTAGTTGTGAATCGATATGCTAATTGAAATGGTAATGTGTTCTCTCCTGTCCTACTCCCCTAGATGGGTTTGAAATGGTAGATTCCTTTCTGACTTTTCTCCCCCTCAAAAATGTGTCACTGTGGGAAATGGATTGGCCCTACTAGTTACAGTAGGTGCCCTGTTAGGATGAATTCCCAGTGTGTGTGACCGTGAAGAATGTACAGCATTCAGCGATTCCAACCTCTGTTTTACAGGCTGGCCAACAATGAGAAGCAAGGAGTAAGGTCACACACAGTCTCTGTGTCAGGTAAGGCTCATTAAAAAAAAGCAAGTTTATTTATAAAGCTAGTAGATATTTAGGCAGATTTTTCGCTCTCGGTTAGCTCACTTCTTGCTACATGTCTGTTGACTTTCCCAAGGCTGTAGCTGTGCTGCCTTTGTAGTGCAGTTCCTAAAGAGAAACTTTTTTGCAGCTATCCTACGTAGTATCACTTGCAAGAACAGCCATAATTCGTGCAGTAACGCAGGGCCAGAATACTTCAAAGCAAGGCTGCTTGTCAGTATTTTCACTTGGCTTTGTAATGAAGTAGAATATCGTGGGCTAGAACTTAAATTACCTGAGTATGTGTTAATTATGAAGGAGCAGCTTTGAAAAGTGAAAATAGGCAATTAAATATTAATCATCGCTTTCTGGAAAGAAGAAACTTAATAGTTGTTTTTCTGTATCTGCTGTTTAGATCAAAGCACTTAATTTTTCTGTTGAAATTCACAAGTTAATTGAAGGATGAGCATGTGAGGTAATACATGTTTCTATAGCTTGTAGGCTTCTAAGATTTCTGTTACTGTGAGTTTAAGTTTTTATACTTGAGAAGGAACACGTTTCTTTTACAGAATCTAAAAACAAGTCTTTTTGAGGAGCTGATTCAGTGTCTTATAGGAAATAAATTTTTAAATCCTTATACATTATATTTATCCAGGAGATTTTCAATGTGAAAGTGTATTAATTTTATTATATATTCCTTTAGATTTCTAGTATTTACCCACGAACTTCAGGAACCAATATTGTGACGCAGTGGAGTGCCCTGACTTACGGGGAGGCTTCAGCCTCACTTTAACGTTTATGTGAGTGCTTAGTGGCACATAGCCAAAAACCCAACTTACTTCATAGAAGAAGGAGGAAAGATACGTAGAAGTTAGATTAATTTCCTACTTTCCAGCTTCCTTTCCCCATCCTTAAGCTTTTTTTAAAAAAATATTTGACATTCACCCATTGGCATAGGAAGCCAAAGTGAACAGACCTTGTACAAGAAAACAGGTGAGAGGATCTGGAATTAAAATGTGTATCAAGCTGCAGAGGTGTAATAGAGCTTGATCAGTTACTATTACCTCTCAAATAGCAGCTCTTCTTTCTTCAGTACCTATCAGGCAAGCCTGTTGTTTAAGGTAGAAAGCATGAAGCATGGTCAGCATGTTCTCTCTTGATTCTTACCTGTGTGGCTCATTTTAGCTGTCAGAAAAAGTTGCAATTTCTTAAGTGATTAGTGCTGTGCTTTTTAATTGCTCCACTCCCACATGAAAAAGCTAATCTTCAGGACAAAACAGACATACTCCCCTGCCACCTCAAATTTTCACCCTTTCAGTTTTTCTAAGAGTGCTGATAGACTTTTACTATTACAAGCAGTAATAAATGCTTACTTCATGGTCCTTCGTTGCTCTCACTTTGACTTGGCAAATTTGGGTATCTTTTGCTTGATGCGTTGTATCTGAAATCCTGTTGTGTCTAGAGCACAAACTCACTTCTTATTCTTTTGAAGTAGTGTTTTGGTATTAATGTAGTGAAGTTAGTTGTAATACCACATGACTCTGGCATTTAGGGCATCACATAAAGGTGGATCATGGGCAAATGAGAGCTTTGCCGTAGCACCAGAGGAAGTAGTGGAGCTGGAGATGAGCTGGTTGTTCCAAGTGGACATGAAGGAAGCTGTAAAGCGCAAAGCTGGCTCCTGATTCCGTAAGCAAAACAAAAGAATTATAGCAGCAAATGTCCCTCCCTTTCTTTAATACCAAAATCAAAACCAATTAGGTATTTTTCTTCTGTTGTAGTAAGGTTTTGTGTCTTTCCACAATGAAATAATTGTTTGATTCTTGTTTTTTGTACCATGTTGCAAACCCCTGGAAACACTGGCATAATACTGGGATGATTCAAACCGTCACATTTATTATTCATTCTCAAAGGTTCTTCTTTTTAACAAGAAACATAGAACACTGACATACTTTCTTTTGTTGTTGGTATGGGTTTTTTGCTCGAAAATTATTTGAAATGCACTGGGTGTGGCATGGATGTCAGTATATTGAATTTAAAACACAGACAGATTGTTGAGATTACATTATATGCTAAGGATTTTTCCTTGGGACTTGCTTTCTCTAAGAATCTCTGAGCCCCCAAATGAATCAACTTGTTATAAATGAAGTAATACTTCATGTAGATGTGAAGAAGTGTCGCTTCTGTTGTCACATGTAACTGATCCATCCATATGGAACAACGGAGGCAACAGATGTACATAATGTTCAGTTAACCCGGGAGTTACAGGTCAGCAGAGTCTGACAGCTGACAGCATCCCATGCAAAGCCAGCTGTGGGTACTGCTATCTTGGTTTGCAGAATAAGAGCTTTTCTCTGGTGACATTTAAATGACTTAGAGCTAAAGGCTTCAAATAAGACGAGCTTTTATAACTTACTGACAGCTGTAATGTCCTTCATCCCTTTGATGGTTTAAATAATAAATTAACTGTGCTGGCTGTCCTCAGTGAGATTGCTGTCCTCTGTTTAAACCTCTTTCAATACTAGAGCTGAATAGCGAAAATCTGAGACACGCATTAGGCAAGAAGGAAAGTTTCACAATGAGTTCCCCACCACACTTTGGGGAAACCAGCAATAGTGTGGAACATGATTTGGTGGTCTAAAAGTTCAGGTATTTGTATGAAGTTCTGTAGGTGTAAAAAATCAGCTTGTTAATGAAAGACACCGTGTGTCTTTTTTTGAAATGTTTATTAGCATATGTTGAAATATTTCTGGTCTAGTGAAATGAAAACTTTCCAAATGTTTTCCGTATTCCAAAACATACAAAGATAGAACATTTTAAAATACTTTTTCTTTCTCTAAATAAAGGCCTTTTCAAACTAGTGAAGGGTGAAGTTGGTTTCAGGACTCCAAAGCAACAGATTGCTGGATCTGGGAGCCAAGAAGTGTTCTTACAGCTGTGTGTCACTGAAGCGCATTTTACCACACACGATTCTGTTTCTGTTTTTTCTGTATTATTTGTCTGCCTTGCTTCTTAAATTTTATGTTCCTTGCAGTGGGCACTGTCTCTCACTGCATGCAAGTAAGATACCTACCAGATTTGCCTTTTTTTTTTTTTTTTTTAAACCACAGTAGTAATTTTATCCCTCAAATTTTACATTTGGGGGTATAAATAAAAAGCTCTAATTAAATATGAGTTGGATTTGAGATTTCTGATGCTTTGGTTTAAGTTACTGTGATTCACCAGAAGCAATGAGTGTTTTAACTGATCGGTAGATCCAATTTCTGTCTCCTTCTCCCTCCATTTCTGTCTTTCCATTAAAAAAGAATTCTTTGTACTTAGCCAAGAGTGTACACTCAGGAAACAGTAAGGCTAAACTATTTGCTCTGTGCAAATAGTATTTCAAATTTGTAAGAAGCAGCATACCAGTTTACTGTAGTTTTATTGACCAGATTTCCTCCTGTTTTGCTTGGAGTCACCTCATGAAAATGTTCTACTCTAGTCTACAGGAACTTATTTTGGCCAGCAGTTTGTTTTGAAATAGCAAACATTAGCTTTATTAAGGTGATGTATATATTTCCTGATACACATATTTCCAAAAATAATAATTTACCTAGTAAATTATATATTAGAAAAAGTTCTTCATAAAATAAAATCAATAAAGCCTTAGTTTGCTTGCTCCCTTTTTAGATAAATTCTGTCTGACACGGACTACTTTGGTTTCTCCTGATCCATCCTCACTTATATAAATATGGTGAGGAAGAATAAATATGTTCTTGCTTCCCTTGGCTAACTGCTGTGCCTCCTTTGCACTAGAGAATTCTGTGGATGTAAATTTTTTTAATTGTAGCTCAAACGTTACTTTACATGCAGAGCTACGGAATATGACATTTCAGGCCCGCTTGTTTCAGCAAGTATTGAACAAGCAGAGTATTGAACAAGTCTTGGCAGCATTAGATTTTCAGTTGGACTCGATGATCTTAAGGGTCTTTTCCAGCCTAAATGATTCTGTGATTCTAAGCTGTCGCTCTTGGCATTTGGGTATTCAGATACTGCTAAATAAAATAACGTGTTTGTGAGGGGTGAGCTGTAGCTGGGAAAATGACAGTAAGGAACAAGATGAGCTGGTTGGTCTGCAGGAGTCAGCACAAGGCATGTATCTGAAGGGGGTTTTTAGCGCCTGCTGTAGAGTTGGTCTTGGTTCAAAGTGGGTGCTGGTTTTGCGGCGTTAGTGCCTATTTGCTGAAAGAAATTGAAAGGTGTTTAGAAATGTTAAGGCAGGCTGTTCAAGCCATCTGAGTAACAGACACCAGGACACATGCCTTTAATAGGGAAATAGGTATCTTAAAGAGAAGGTTGGTCATCTTGTTCCCTGGCTGGCACGGCTGTTAGTAATACAAGTAGCATTTTAAAGTCAAAAGGGGTGTAGCTGTAAGTGTGTGGCAATATGATGGCATAAGTTTCTAATAATGCTGGTGTGCCATTACGTCTCTACAGAGGAAAAAAAGACAATTTATTTGCTTACAGTGACTCTTAAGAAATTATAACTGCATCCCATGGTTTAGATGTATCTAGTAACGTGCTCTACGGAGGAGAAATCGTGTCTGTTGGAGAGAGCTTCCTTATAGGAACTGAAAGATTTTGGCATCCTGAAAGGGGGTCTTCTCAGCAAGTTTCCAGGTTCTGGCTTAGAATCACAGATGTATAGTGTAATATCATTACACTTAAATCACATGCTGTGGTTAACTCCTGATTGTGGCAGTGAAGTGGCATCAGAGTTCTTCTCTAAGGTGCTACTTATGAGCAGATCCTGTTTGAAGTAGTTGCCAATTTAGTCATACTATTTAGCTGAAATTTCAATTTGAATGAAAAAAATCTCTCTTGAAGGAAATAAGCATGATTTAAATGTGATTTTAGCATGCAGGAAAAAAAATTATATGGTAGAGTTAGTCTGTGAGAGAGACTTTCAGTAGGTTACTGAGAGGAAACTAAAATACAGCAGGAGC